AAAATTGTTCGAGAATTTGAAAACAAATACGTACTTGCAGCCCTTTGATAGCGACGCAAGCTCTTCGCCAAAATTCCACATATCGAGTCTTCGAGTATTTCGTCAAGATGTCCTATGAAAGAAATATTTTTGGTAGTAAGGTCGAATTTCATCAAGCACTCAGCCATACTGGCAATACGGCAGTTTGTGATTGGCCTGGCTGCGATGTTTCAAAGTTGCAAGCAGTGCGGCAGCAGAGCTGGCAACCAACATAGAGGATGATGAGAGTGAGATGGGAGAGCGACTCACGTTATCCTTGCGCTTGATTGGCTTAATATTTTCAGCCAATCGGACGACACAAAGACAATCTTCCGAAATTTTGGCGCCACAGCAGCCATCATCACTTATTGCATCACGACCAATGGTAGTTTCAACCCATAGCTTGGCTATCATTCGCTCAAGTTTTGTGGTACCATTGCTATTGGAAGAATTGTTACGGTAATTTAACATCATGCGATGTCATTCCGGTTGTCAGTGAAAACGAAGATGCATCGTTGCGAAAGCTGATTCCAGCCACGAGCAGCATATTCTGGAAATAGTGTCAATATATGGCATCAGGCTGTAGCAAGGGCACTCTAAAGCCCGTGTAGTTAGTGTTGTTACACTAAACCAAGTCGTCTACCTCATGCGCTCAAATTTTCATCTCAGCTCTGGATCTTTTGCTGCAAATTGTACAAGATCATGAACCTGATCGATGGTTTCGCAAATTTCAAACGCGACCGTTACTTCGGCGGGAAACCGAGCAACGCCGCCAAGATCTCACTTTGCCTTTTCTCCCCTGGGTCCAAAACATGCCGCGCTCTCTGGACGGGCCCACTGTCCCCGTAGCATCGGCGTCCCTCGCGTCGCGTGCGCTCTTTACTTGGGTCCTTCCGCTGCTTCGGCTCGGTCACACGCGGCAGCTTGACCAAAGTGACATGTGGCCGCTCGAAGCCTCCAATGCTTGTGCCGGTGTCATCCCGTCGTTTACACCGACGTACGCCGCGACCGCGTCTCTTCTTCGCACGTTTATTCGCCTCCATGGCCGGCGCTTTGCGCTCATCGGTCTCGCGCAGCTTTTGCTCGTGCCATGCACCCTCTACGGGCCCTATGTGCTGCACCAAGTGCTCTCGACGCTCGAGTCGCCCGCGGATGGATCGTCGTCTTCGTTTCTATGGACAACGCTTGGTAGCCTCTTTCTCGTTCAAGTCACCGCGGCGCTGCTCTCGGCTCACACCGACTACCTCGACAAAGTCCTCGTCGTGCGCCTCACGGCCGGCTTGCAGCACCTGCTCTTTGAAAAGACGTTGCGCCTCGACGCGACGTCCCGGAAGCGCATGTCAACCGGCGACCTCACCAACTACTTTACGTCCGACATCAGTGCCATTTTGCGCGTGACGTTCTACGTCCACTACCTCTGGCTCATGCCGCTGCAGATCGTCGTCACGCTCGTCTTGCTCTACAAAATCATCTCGTGGGCGACCTTTGTCGGTGTGGCCATTCTCGTCCTCGGCGCGCCTATCACAAACGTCCTCGTCAAGCTCCGGTACCGTGCGATGGACACGCTCATGGCGCAAAAGGACGCTCGCATGCGGTTTGTACATGAAGTCGTGAGTGCCATCCAGATTCTTAAGCTACAAGCCGCCGAAGACGCCGTCTTGACCAAGCTCCTCGCGCTGCGGGCCAAAGAAGTGCAGTCGCTCCGACGCCTCTTTGCATTGGCGAGCGCAACCATCTCAATGGCGTACATCATCCCTGCGACGGTCACGGTCGCGTCACTCGCCACATACACGCTGCTGCTGCGTGAAGACGTGACGATCGCCAAGGTCTTTGGTGCCCTCGCGCTCTTCAACTCGCTCTCAACGCCGCTCAACAACTTTCCGCACACCTTGACGTCGGCACTCACGGGGCTTGTCTCGGTGCGTCGCCTCGATGCTTTTCTGGCGCTGCCCGAGCGACCGATAGACCGTGTCCAGACGCCGTCGACGCTGCCTTCCGACCAGCTCGCGCCGCTGGCTGCCGACAAGGTTGCAATCGCGATCGAAGACGGTGCGTTTGGATGGGACCCCGAAAACCCCATTTTTGCCGACTTTAATCTGCGCATCCACCAAGGCGAGCTTGTCGTCGTCCACGGCCTTGTCGGCGAAGGCAAGTCGTCGCTCTGCTCGATCCTCCTCGGCGAGCTCGACAAGCTGCGCGGGTCGGTCTTTGTCGGTGGCCGCGTCTCGTACTTTTCGCAGCAGGCGTGGATTCAAAACATGACGATCCGCGAAAACATCCTCTTTGGCAAGCCGTACGACCGCAAAAAGTACGCTGCTGTCATTGACGCCTGCGCGTTGACAAAAGATCTCGCCGCTTTCCCCGCCGGCGACCGCACCGAGATTGGCCAGAAGGGCGTCAACCTCAGCGGCGGCCAGAAGGCGCGCATTGCGCTCGCCCGCGCGTGCTACAACGACGGCGACGTGTTCATTTTGGACTCGCCCTTGTCCGCGGTGGACGCGATCGTCTCGAACGAGATTTTCACCAAGTGCTTTCTCGGCCTCTTGTCCAAGAAGACGGTGCTGCTCGTGACGCACAACCCCGAGATCATTGCGTCCAAGCACATCGACCGTACGATTGAGATCAGCAACGGCATCTGCAAGCAAACTGTCAACACGGCCAAAGAAACCTTCGACTTGGCCCTTTCACCGCTCGCCGCGCACCCGATCATGTCGTACACCAACGATGACGACGACGACAATGACGTGATGGATGACGTGACCACGATCTCGAATGTCGCGCCGCACTTGCTCTCGCCGTCGCTGCGGTCGCCGTATGTGCCCGGTGGCTTTCACGAGATGGTGTACACGCCCCGGCAGAACGCCGACGGCACCTTTGAAGAGCCGCTCGTCCACGGCAAACTCGTCGACGAAGAGTTTCGCTCCGAAGGCCGCGTCTCATCCAACGTCTTTGGCGCGTACTTTCGCGCGGCCGGTGGGTGGCCGGTCGTCGTGCTTCTGCTCTGCGTCCAGTCGACATGGCAGGGCCTCGCGGTCTGCGGTGACCTCTGGCTCAGCAAGTGGTCGGCGTCGTCGGCCGTCGAGTCGCCCGACGTCTTCCAGGCCAACGCCGCGTGGAACGTCGGTGTGTACGCGTGCTTTTCGCTCGGGAGCGCGTCGATCGTCATGGTGCGCATCCTCAGCGTCGGCTTTGCGGGTCGGAAGGCGTCCCGCGCGCTCTTTGACCAAATGACGTCGGCGCTCCTCGCCGCCCCGATGAAGTTCTTCGACACGAATCCAACCGGCCGCATTTTGAACCGGTTCGCGGGCGACTTTAACGCACTCGACGTCGGCGTGCCCTTCTCGTTCATGTTTGTACTCGCTACGTTCTTCATCGTGCTCTTTGCGATGGGCACGACGATCGTGGTCGTCCGGTCGCTGAGTTTTTTCATTTTGCCGCTGTTTTACGTCTACTACCGCGTCGGGAGCTTTTACCTCCAACCGGCCCGCGAGATTGAGCGCCTCGGGAAGGTCACGTACTCGCCCATGATCAACTTGATCTCGGAAGCGATCGACGGCGCGGTCGTCATCCGCGCGTTTGGCGCCAAACAAGAGCGCCGCTTCCAGCGTCTTCACCACCGCAATGTCAACCGGTACAACGAGTCGGTGTACGCCAAGCAGATCGTCGAGCTCTGGTTCATGCTCCAGAACCAGCTCCTCTCGGCCAGCATGATCCTCGTCATCTCGCTCTCGCTTGTCTACGCGCGCGTGTACTTGACGCCCGGTCTTGTCGGCCTCGTCTTCAACTATGCGCTCAACGTGCCGCTCAACCTCCAGTACCTCATCCAAGACGCGTCCGAGATTGAAAAGAACATGGTGTCCCCCGAGCGCATCATCGAGTACACGCAGATCCCACCGGAGGCGCCGCGCGTGATTCCTGGCGCCGTCTCGACGCAGTCGTGGCCGTCGCAGGGCGCGATTACGTTCAACAACGTCAGCTTCCGCTACAAGGAGAACGACCCGCTCGTGTTCAAGGACGTTTGCGTCGCGCTTCGGGGCCGGGAAAAGGTCGGCATCGTCGGTCGCACGGGGGCTGGCAAGTCGAGCTTGACCATGGCGCTCTTCCGCATCAACGAGCTCGCGGCCGGGTCCATCTCGATCGACGGTGTCAACTGCGCATCGGTCGGGCTCAAGACGCTCCGCGAAAGCATTGCGATCATTCCGCAAAACCCGGTCCTCTTCAAGGGCACGCTCCGCCAATATCTCGACCCGTTTGACCAGTTTCAAGACGACGACCTCTGGAATGTGCTGCGCAAGGTCAACTTGGTCGAACGCACCGAGAAGGACGGCTTGAGCAGCGACGTCGAGGAGAACGGCGAGAACTTTAGCGTCGGCGAGCGCCAAATGCTGTGCATGGCGCGTGCGCTCCTCTTGCGCGCCAAGGTCGTCGTCATGGACGAAGCGACGGCGGCCATGGACCACGCGACGGACCAGAAGCTGCAGCACGTGATTCGCACCGAGTTTGCCGACTCGACGGTCCTCACGATCGCCCACCGTCTCGACACGGTTTTGGACTGCGACCGGATCCTCGTGTTTGACCACGGCCGCCTCGTCCAGTGCGACAGCCCAAGCACCCTCATTGCCCAAGGCGACGGCATCTTCTTTGAGCTCTGCAGTGAAGGCGGCTACCTCGACAAGGTCCACCAACATGCAACGGCATAGAGCAGATAATTTGTCGACTGTTCATCTCAAACCGAATCCCACGTCTTTCTTTGCATTCGATTCGCATGCGTCGTACGCGCTTCGCATGTCAAGGAAGCCTTGGAATTGTGCAATGATCGATACGCCACCTCGGCCGATCGCTGCAGCAAGTGACGGCAGGTTGTTCTTGTTATGTTCATGCTGCCAAGTGGTGGATCCTCCCAGCTACCAATCAATGGTATCTGTGCTGCATGGACGGCGCAGAGAGTGATGATGCGATTGAGTCTCCTCTGCAAGTCCGACTTTTGTCGCAAAGACCCACGGAAGCTTCTTCTGTTGAGCAAAAGCGCGCCAAGTCGCTCATGTCGTTGCTTGGCGGGAACGTTTCGCGGCAAATCCGAACGGCGAGACGCGGCGCGCATCTGGCTCGCTGCCAATTGGCTACTGATCGGCCGATGTATCTCGTCTGGTCGTGCCAAGTGGCGCAAGTGGCGTGCGCCGAAGTCAACGCTTTGGATTGGCGCCATGACGGACGAGGCGATGCTATGGCGCGGCCACCGCCAAGGCGATTGGCTCGAGGCGCGGGTGGACAGACGTCCCTGTCCCACCCATCTATCGTCATTTCGCCCACCCCGGTCGCATCTCTTCTCGCACGCTACACAAGTACACTGCATCCAGCGCTGTATTCTTGTCGTCATCTCGTTGCCAAGATGGCGCTGGCCGCCATCTTGCACGCGATCTTTGGGAGAGCGTCCTTCGCCGGCCCTCGGTGCGATATTAAAACGTGTCCGGCGTATTTTTAATCCAACGCCAGCGCAAAACGACTGGCGGCTGCATACAAACGCCCACTGGGGCCACATTAAAAATACACGCGTTGGCAATAAAAACAGCCCTGGCCGCCACCTCGATTCGCGTAATCAAGTACAAAGTCGCCCTGTCGCAGACTGCGTAGGCTGACACGACGCCACCTTTTTACGTTTTAAGCGAATTCGTATCCGGAGTCGTTTTGGCGGGCGCTGGGTTTGCCGCCAAGATGGCTTGTCGACGACATCTCGCAGTTCACTTTTCAATCGACCAAGTACGTGCCACAGCAGTAGCATGGTCGCCCTCCCGCAGCCCGAGATCATCGGCGACATCACCGAGTACAAGCGCCGCGAGCTCAACGGCGAGCTCGCGCCCGAGCCCTTCCTCTCGGAAAACCCGAACCGCTTCGTGCTCTTCCCGATCCAGCACGCCGACGTGTGGGAGATGTACAAGAAGGCCGAGGCGAGCTTCTGGACCGCCGAGGAGCTCGACCTGGTCCACGACCAGAAGGACTGGGAGAAGCTCAGCGACAACGAGCGCTTCTTCATCACGCACGTGCTGGCGTTCTTCGCTGCCTCGGACGGCATTGTCAACGAGAACCTTGCCATGAACTTCTCGAACGAAGTGCAGGTGCCGGAAGCGCGCTGCTTCTACGGCTTCCAGATTGCGATCGAAAACATCCACTCGGAAGTCTACTCGCTCCTCATCGACACGTACATCAAGGACACGGTCGAGAAGGACCGCGTTTTGCGCGCCATTGACACGATCCCGTGCGTCCAGCGCAAGGCCCAGTGGGCGCTCAAGTGGTGCAACAACCAAATTGCGGCCTATGCGGAGCGCATCGTCGCCTTTGCCGCTGTCGAGGGTATCTTCTTTTCCGGGTCGTTTTGCTCGATCTTTTGGCTTAAGAAGCGCGGGCTCATGCCTGGTCTGAGCTTCTCGAACGAGCTCATCTCGCGCGACGAAGGCCTCCACTGCGACTTTGCGTGCCTCATGTACTCGAAGCTTATCAACAAGCTTTCGAACGAACGCGTCCACGAGATCGTTGGCGACGCGGTCACGATCGAGAAACAGTTTGTGTCCGAGTCGCTCCCCGTCGAGCTCATTGGCATGAACTCGGCCTTGATGTGCGAGTACATTGAGTTCTGCGCCGACCGCCTCCTTCATGCGCTCGGTGCCACCAAGCTCTACAACGCCAAGAACCCGTTCGACTGGATGGACATGATCTCGCTCCAGGGCAAGACCAACTTTTTCGAGAAGCGCGTCGGCGAGTACTCCAAGTCGGGCGTCGGCGTCTCAGCCGAGGACCAGTCCTTCACGCTCGACGCCGACTTTTAACCAGCCCGCTGTCGCTACCCGCATCCGTTTGAACCTTTTCCTACCATAAATTTATAACTATCAACCCTAAACTCCTCTTGCCAGTTCGCTACTTAGTGCATTACTGTAAGCTTAGCGGGTTGATAAAGAATACATTCGCAGTACGGCAGCCACATGGACACCTCAACGTGCACCCCACAATTACGACATGGCCCTTTTGAGTCGCTACATATGAACATGACGTGACCAAGGTAGGTCTCATGCGCATGTTCTTGACGAAGCCACGCATACAATGTCCCGCTCTCTACTGACGAAGTCGACAGCTTCGGCTGGAAAGCACCAGTGCAAGTGCGTAGAGGCTGTCAACGATGTGCGTTAATCGTGGGTTTTAAGTTAGACGCATCGTTGACTAGAAGGTCGTGGGCACTGAGGGCTGGGCCTTCAGTTTCGGCGCGAGAAAGTCCATGTTTAACGCATTCTCGTCGTCCTGGTCCGAGATGCGGACGCCGTCAAAAGACAAGTTGTCGTCGTCGTCTTCGGCGCTCTCTTCACGCACGACCGGCGGTGGGTTAGTAGCGATGGGCATGCCGCTCTCGAACGAGTAGCGGTCAACATCGAGGGGCGCGTCTGGCACCGACGCCGACACCTTGGCCGGCATAGGCTGGCTTGTCTGGATGTGGCCTACTTTTGCCGATGGCAAGGGCGCTGGCGGAGGCTGTTTGGACGACCCGCGTTGCTTCGAAGGGGATGGCTCGCCGGGGGACGGTTTGGCCGGCGACGAGAGAAACTCGCCATCGCTGTTGACGACCGTGTCGCGCGCGACGGGATGAACTTCAAGAAAGTTGTCGACCGTGAGCGCCGACCGCAGCGACTCGGACTTGCCGGCCTCTTGGATCGGCATCGGGAGCTTCTCGAGGATCGATGGATTGTCGTTCACGATGAAGAAGTCGCGCACGAGCTCAAACGCGTGGCCGCTGCACGTGGGGCACCGCGGCGCTGTTGTGAACGTGTGCGACGCCAGCATCGAGACAAAGGCTTGGAGCGAAACCTGGCGGTACTTGATGACCATGGCCGAGTTGGACGAGAAGAGGTGCTTGCGCGGAAAGTCAAATTGGCCAAGCGCATGCATATAGTGCTGGCAGCCCGGGCACGTCTTCTCGAGTTCCGTTTGCTCGCTCAAGTGCGCATGGAGCGTTTGCTTGAGGGCGAGGAACTCCGAGTATCGGTGCACGACCTCCCACGACTTGGCCGGCGCTGTCTTGACAGTCTTCATTGCGACCTTGTAGTACGTCTTGCCGTCGACGACGACGGTGCTGGGCACCGAGACGCGCACACTGCAGCTCAGGTCGACGCCGCCGTTGCGCGAGTAGCTAAAGCGCTCCATTCCGAGACGAGGACGAAAGGGATTCTGCTGCCATTCCGTCAAGATCGCGGCCGCGGCCGCGGCCGGTGCGTCGAATCCGGCGATGCCATTGGCTGAAATCAGGACGTTGTGATAGGTTGAGCGGCCCGCCATTTCGAAACCGGGCTTCGGCCAGCCCAATTTAATACAAACATTTAATATGACTTCATGCTTGTAAGGGTTTACATGAAATTATTTTATGAAGTATGGCAGCAGATTCGTGAGCAACCTCGGGAGCCCGTTGCCGGCGAGACGCGCGCGGGGGCGCGGGCGTAGCCAACACCCGTGTCACCATTGCACGGGCTCTGGGTCATCCATGACTGCATTGACCTGCCAGTTTAAGCTGACATTTATGGGCCAACGCAGCGGATCATGCGCACCCGCCCCTACTAGTAGCAGAGACTATATTCTTAGTCGTCATTATCTGACCACCCCATTCGGATGCCTACACCGCATCTCTCGGTTCTCTTGATGAAGCTGTCCGCCATTGCCGGTCGGCTCAAGCGCAATGCGAGCGAGCGCTTATCAAGTCGGTGGGCCTGTCCAGTCCCGAGAAGAAAAAGATCCATTTTCGATATTCGGACAAGTCCTACTTGAAGGTATGGAACAGCCCCCTTCCCACAACCCACCCCATTTGGTGTTTGTATGATAGGGGAAGTTGAGAATGATGGTCGCCGGACCTCTCCCAAATTAGGCATCTCAAATGCACGTGATTGGTGTATTTCGCTAGGGCACGGGGAACGCGCGTGGAAACAGTGCCAAAGGACTTGAAGTTTGTATGCAATAGAATTCGAATTCGGCGAGGTAGCCGTTGCGGAACTTTGGTCCCATTCTTCTTCCAGCCGCTTGAGCCCCGAAGCACCCGACCAGCGCCATGAACTCGTTCAAGAAGGAACACCCGTTCGGTACGACGAAGATGGAAGCGATCGTGGCAGGTTGACAGGCGCTATGTGTAGAGAAGCGGCAAGCGGAGGCCCAGCGCATCCGCTCCAAGTACCCCGACCGTATCCCGGTCATTTGCGAGAAGGCCGACCGCAGCGACATTCCCGATATTGACAAGAAGAAGTACCTCGTGCCCGCGGACCTGACGGTCGGCCAGTTCGTGTACGTGATCCGCAAGCGCATCAAGCTCTCGCCCGAGAAGGCCATCTTCATCTTCATCAACAACGTGCTGCCGCCGACGGCCGCGCTCATGTCGAATATTTATGAAGAGCAGAAGGACACGGACGGCTTTCTGTACATTACGTACAGCGGTGAAAACACGTTTGGCGCCGACGACGACGACGAGATGTAAACCCACCGCAAGGGTATATATATCTTGTCTTAATCTCACTGAATACACGTCGTGCATCCCTTCATTCTTCGGTGAACGTGCACACTTGCAGGCCTTTTCCGACCGCGACGATCTGCAGTGCTGTCGCATCAAGCGCCTCGTAGACGCCGAGGCCTGCAATGTCGGCCGTCTCGGACAAGGCAGCCGCCGCCCACTTCAAGGCCGAGCGAGAGTCGTTCCAGCGCCACACGGTCACGCGCTGGTCGTAGCCGCCGGCGACGACGACGTTGCCGACACACCGAATCGCCTTGAGCGCCGACGCACTGGCATTGCGGACGCCGGCGTGGTGCGTCGTCTCTGCGAGCCCGCCATCCGAGGCGAGCGTCAACGTAGCATGCGCGATGCACTGATCGTCGCCGCCGGTCACAATGTGAAAGCGCGACGGGCCGTCGGCGAGGACGCTGAGGCAGTTGACGCCCATGTCATGGGCCGTGTAGACGTACGCCGGCGTCAACGCCGTGTAGTTGCTTGTCGCGACGGCGTCGGTGAGGTGCCAGAGGACGACCTTGCCGTCGGTCGCGCCGGTCGCCAAGTAGAGCGTATTGGCCTCGTGGTAGAGCCCGCAGGACAAGATCGGCTTTTGCGTCGACGTGCCAAAGACGCCAGCGACATGGATATGACCGGCCGTGTCGATAAGCAGCGCTGTCACCGCACCTTCCGAGGACCCTGCAAACGCAAGGGTGTGGCCGTCGCCCAGTTGCGTCGCGGCGAGGGCAAGGATGCGCTGGTCCTGCGGCGCGTCGCTCGGCGTATGCTCACCGACGTGCTGCAGCCGCTTCTCGTGCAGACGCCACACGTGCACCGACTGCTTCCCGCCCGCCGATAGCACATAGTTGTCGGTGACGGCGAGTGCTCGAATGTTGGTCGTATGCATGCTCACCGAGTCGATGCAGTCGAGGACCTAGAAGCGTTGTGTCATCGTTTCCTCAAGTCCCACTGGACTGTACCTGGCGCTGGGTGTCGTAGGCATAGACCTTGAGCGCGTTGTCTTCGCCGCCCGTTAGCAGCAGCTTGGTCACGGGGTCCCACTCGACGCAGCAGGCGGTTTTGCTGTGGTGCATCTGGCCGTGCACCGACGTCGTTGGCCGCGTTGCTTCGAGGAGCGAGCTCGACGCGTGGAGCAGTATCGTATCTTTTTGACCGACGCACAGCGCGTGGTCGGTGGCACAGGCGACGCGGAGCGCGTGCGGGCTGCGCCACCCGCCTGTGGTGACCGAGACCCGACGGAACGACTGCGAGACGTTGACTATGTGCGCGGTTTTGGCGTGGAAACCAAACACAAGGAGATCATCGCCCTCGAACCAAACGCGCTTGAGCGTCGCGAGGCCCTTGATCGACTGCTTGCGCGTGATGGCAAAGACGCCGTTGACGCGCTCGGTGACAGTCAGGTACCCGTCGTGGCCCGTTGAGTAGAGCTTGTTGTCGCGCCAGAGTACGCTCGACACAATGTCGTCGCCGTGGGCGTGGGCGAGTACGTGCGTCGGCGACGATGACTGCGCCGTGTAGTAGGCGAGGTTCCCGCGGCTGTCGCCCGTCCAGAGCCCCGCGTCGTCGGTGAACGCGTAGCTGGAGACGCACGCCTTCGGTGTCCGGCTCGTGACGGACCGGAGGAGCGTCACAGTCTTGGTCGTCACATCGAGCGCCCACTCGTGCAAGTGCATGTCGACGCTTGACGTCAAGACGCGGTTGGGCGCGTGGAGCCACACGTACAGGACGCGGCTTGTGGCGTGCGCCTGCCACTCGAGCAACGACTGCAGCTGCGCATCGTAGATGTGGACGACGCCGCGGACGTCACCGACGGCAATGACGCCGTCGTCGTCCGAGGTGTCGAGGCTGCACGCGTTGTAGGTAAGCGCAACGGACGACGGCGCGGCACCGACCGCCAGTGCTTGCGCGACGAGCGTCGACTTGTCGGTGATCGCATAGACATGGGTTTTGGTCATCGCCATGGCGCGGACGGTCGCGTGCACCGAGGGGAGCGTCACCGCCGGCGGGGCTTGGTTGAAGACGTGGAGACGGAGGTCCCAGGTTTTGACGGCATTGTCACCGCCACCGGACGCAATCAGATGCGGCTGCGACGGGTGCACCGCGAGTCGCCAAACGTTGACGTCCGTGTGGCCGTGCAGCGTCGCAACACACTGGCTGGTGGAGAGATCCCACAACTTGCACGTCGCGTCTTCGCTCGCCGTGACGAGGCCCAGCGAAGTAAACTACCGCACTTGTTGTAATGATCAGGCGACCGTAAGCAAGGGGTACCTTGACATCCCAAATGCGAGCCGTGTGGCCCCACCCTCGAAAGACGCTCTCGAAGGGACGGCTGAGCGTCGTCGTGGGGCTGGTTACGCCGGTGCTGCCGTTAGCCCAGAGCTGTACTGACCGATCGTCCGAGACGGACGCGAGGCGCTGGCCGTCGTCGGACCACTGGAGCTTGAAGAGCACGCCGTCTGCACGATATTACGGTTCGATGTCGCTGCAGATTCATGGTGTGTACCGTGCTGGTGCAGTCGCTGGACGGGTTGGCCATCGCCCATGGGGTTCCACAGCAGAATGTGCTACGTCCTACGATCAAAGACGACACCGAAGCGCATCCAAACGTACCTGAAAGACCGTCCCGGCGGCAACGACGAGCGAGTCGAGCGACCGGCCATAGAGGCCCATGGCATACTATCCATCCCACGATAAGAGAGAGGTGGTAGAACATGGAGCGTACCAAGATCGACCGCTCCGAGCAGCGCACGCTGTGCACAATGGCATCTGTCGTCGGGTTCCACACGTGCACGAGGTTGTGGGCCATGCCGACGGCCACGAGCGGCAACGCACCAGCGGCCGTCGGCTCGTTGCTGAGCAAGCGCGCGTCGAGAATCCAATCTGGAAACTCCTTTTGCACCACGTGCATGCGGCGCATGTCGTCTGCTGGCGACGACGGCGCATGCGCGAGAACCGCAAGCATCTTTTGGCCAAAGAGCGCAGCGACTGGGTCGGCGACGTCGAGACCGTGGACGGTGCCGTTGCGCATCGCCGTGAGCGCGTGCACTTGGCAGCCGGTCGCAGTGTCGTAGAAGTACACGGTCGAGCCCACGCAGGCGTAGAGAAGCGACCCGTCGGGCGAGAAGTGCAGGGCCGTGACGGCGCCGACGGCCGCGTGCTTCTCGAGGTGCGCCGCCATCGAAATCGATTGGAAGAAAAAAGGACAACTCAAAGCGCACTTAACTGGACCCTCTAAGCCACTCGACTCAGTTGCAGCAAGCAGTGCTCTTGCATCGACAGAGGTTATGAGCCAACACACTCTATCGCGTACCGAGTCTCGACGACCTGGACCCCGGAGCAGCGTTGAGTACACTAGAGTTGAAGCGCACGAGGGTTTTTCGCCGGTACATGTCCATTTTGTCCGAATCTCAGGATTTTCATGTTGAGAAGAATGTCGAGGACAACGCTTCAATACAGGGAAATCGGGTCGAAATTACCGTGAATGTACGCTACTTCCTGCACACCCGTGCGACAGTATGCGGAAACACGTGGTTTTATACGTATTTTTATGGCCTAGACATC